CCGGGCCAACCCGGCCCTTTTCTTTTTTCCTTTTCTTCCCCACATGGGCCCAGCCCACTTTTTTTTTCTTTCCTTTCCCTCTTCCCGCAGGAGTTGGGCCCGGCCCGGCCTAGCTCCTTCTTCTCCACCTCCCCCAGTTAAGCCTCCCCTCTCTCTCCTCTGTTTTCCTCTGTCCCGACCCCCACTGCAGGAGCACGAAATACCCGCTCCACCGCGCAAAATTGGCCACGAAAGTCATGGTCGGTGCAGATCGTTTGATGGAGCGGAGGGTGGCGTCATCGTCGTCGGCTATACAGAGGCCAGCGAGAGGAGAGAGAGAGAGGTCGGTTGGTTCGGTTTTGAGAGAAAAAAAACACAGAGAGAGCATGAGAGTGTGAGCCGAGAGAGAAAGGGAGCTTCCGGCGGCCACCGCGCCTCAGCTTCAGCCATCCATCCCCGCCGCCGAGCCGACGGCGGCGACACAGAGAGAGAGAGAGAGCCTCGGTTGGCCTTGGGAAGAGAAAAACAGAGCAAAAGAACAGAGAGAGAAATAGAGAGAAAGAGAGCAAAGGTGAGACCGAACACTTGCAGGGGTTGAAGAAGACGCTAGCCGAGCCTTCCCGACGAGCACACACTGCCGGCGATCCCCGCCGGAGGCAGCTCCGACCGGTAAGCTTTCTCAGTCCTTAACCCCCCTGTTTTGCCCTGTTTTGAGGTGCCGGTTGGCCGGGACTCGTGTTGTTCGTTTGGCGTGAATTCCGGCCCATATCGACACCACCCATGATCCAGACCAGCCGTCTGAGGTGAGTCGTGGCTACCGGAACTGGCCGGAGCCCTGAAATAGGTAAAAAATCCCCTGTTTCGGTCATGCATTCCACGTGTTCGACGAAATGCCCACATGAAGTCCGTTTGAGACGATCCTCGGCCGGCGATGTACAGGCTGTCCGGCGACCTTCGATCCCTTTGAGCGGCTTTTTGACGGCCATTGGAAGCCGGAACAGGCCAAAGTATGGCCTGGGTCGACCGGTCAAGTTTCGACCGACGTTTAGGCTCAACGAGCCCCGGTCGGAGCTTGACCGGCGACCGCTCCGGTCCGCCGTTCGGCGAGCCGTCGCCCCCAATTTTTTCAGCTTGGAGTGCTGAGGAGACGGGGACCAATGGCCCGGCGGAATAGGCGGCGACTCGCCGGATTACCTGCCGAATGAGCAAGCTCAAAACAAGAACGGAAGAAGCCGGGTCTGCGAAGAGGAAAATCCGGGTCGGATCCGGGTCAGGCGAAGAGCCCGATCCAGTTCAGGACCCGGCTCAACGACCCGAGTTAACCCCGACCCGGTTCGGACCCTAAGATCCGACCCGGGTCAACGACTTGGTTCGGATCCGTTGACCAGGGCGGATCGCCACGGAGTGACAACCGAAGTTGTCACGGACCGAATGAACTTGCACGTGACTCGATTTATTATCAGTCACGGGTTGAATATGCGAATTTCCCTAAAAGCCGCCCGTTAGTTTGAGAAACGCTCGAGTTACGTTAAATAAAATTCGATTATTAATTAGAGCCCAAATTGGACATCGAAAAATTGAGAATTCACAACGGGACGTTAAGACGACGTTGTGGTTGGAACGTACAGCTTTGGATTTTCTCGGATCCTTCAGAAAAATTCAATTTCGGTAAGAAAATGGAAAAGTGACCGTTTTACCCCTAGGAATTTGGTAAGGGCAAGCTTTAAGAGGGAAGGGCATTTTGGTCATTTTGCCCTAATTTTTGAGTTGGACAATTTTGCCCTTGAACTTTTTTGAGAAATTCCCAAATTGCCCTTGGATATTTTGGAAAAGATTCGATCTCGGCCGTCGATTCCAAGATAAGATCGAATCTCGGCCGTTGATTAAAAAGATTAGAGAGGGGCAAGATGGTAATTTGCCAAAATTGGTCAAAATTGGACTATTTAGACCAAGACCCATTCTCTCTCTCCTCATGATTTCTCTCTCAAACTCTCGGCTCTCTCTCTCTCTCTTCCCCTCCCTCACCGTGAGCTCTCCCTCTCTCCCTTGGCTGCTCATCGCCGCCGCCGGCCACCGCCCGTCGTCGCCGCACCGCTTCACCGCCTTCACGCCACCGCCACCACCGTCCTCTCTCTCTCTATCTCTCTCTCGGCTCACCCTTTCTCTCCCTTGGCCGTGGACAGCCGGCCCAAGCCGAGCAAGCCGCCACTGTCGATCGCCACCGCCGAGCCGCGCCCCGATCGCCACCGCCGAGCCGCGCCCCGATCGCCACCACCGAGCCGCGCCCCGATCGCCACCACCGCCGCGCCGCCGCTCGCCGCCGATCACCGTTAACCGCCGCCTGTTTTCCGCTCGAGTCAAGTCAGTCTAGAGTCTCGGTAAGTCGCGCCCTAAACTTTATTTAGGACTTCGGATATCGACGGACAAAATTGAGGTAGAATCGGGTTAAATTAGACAAGGATTAGTAGGGTTTTAGGGGCGGATTTGATTAGCGGGCCTAAGGAATGAATTTGGGGAAATTTTGGTGGAAATTTAGAGGCCGAGTATATGCTGAATTTGTTGGTTTGAATGCTGGAAAATGCGGTTCGGTATGTAAATTAGGTATTTAGATCCGGCGACCAATTGTGGGAAAATGTCGTGAAGAGACGGAACTGATTTGCCGTGGTTTTGATATGAAAAAAATGCCAATTTGTATGTTGGTTGTGCGTTTGAAATGTGGTGATGAAATTGGGTGCATTGGTGTGCAATTGATTGATTGAAATATGCTTGATTATGTGCACGCCCGGGCTGAATTGAATTAATTGTCAATCGGCCATGTTGAATGCTTAATGAGCATGAGAATGTGTGTGAATTAGTGCGTGCACAGGCTACGCGTGATTGGCCAATTTATTGGCAAGTGAGTGTGGAGCATGTGTATGAGTGAGAAATTGTGTGGTATGGTATGTGTGATTGTGGAAATCCCTGAGGCGGTACCATTACGCGGGGAATTGATCCGTCCTGAGGCGGTACGACTACGCGGGACGATGCCCGATATTACCGGAGGACGGCCAACCTGAGGCGGTACCATTACGCGGGTTGTGTCGTAGGTGGTGGGTGTTGAGCCTGAGGTGATACCACTACGCGGGTAACATACACGGCCTGAGGCGGTACCATTACGCGGGTCACTGGCGAGTGGTGTGGAAAAGATGTGATGAGATCGGAATGAATGCATGAAACGTAATTAGAACATGCATGTGAGTGGAATGATGTTATTATGGCTAACGTGCAGGTTGCACGCTGGAAAGGCCTAGGTAAGTATTGATTGTGTGCCTGCGATGTAATAGCTGAGTGTGGTTGTTTGTCTTGATTGTCTGGAGGTACGTAATAGCCTAGGTGGGGTTTAGGGTGTGTGCTTACTGAGATGTATTTTCATGGTTGTTTCAACCAAACAATTTCAGAACCCCGGCCTGAACAATGAATCCGCCGCTGCCGTTGCCACCAGAGCGTTTTGGGTTACCAGTGCACATCGACCACAATGTACTAGAGTTTCCGATCGATGAAAATATGACCTGGATAAAGCATACCTTAGTAGTTTGGGTAGATATAGGGTTACCCCTTTTGCAGGCCCACACATACACCGCCTGGTTCTTCAGGTACGGGATAGACGAGTTTGGACCCGTCCGCGGATTTGACGTCCCCTTTGATGGAGTTGGGAACTGGGACCCATTTGCTATACCTCCTCCGGATGGCGAGTTGACTAGTGTGGAGACTAGTCTAGCGCAGTCAAGACTACAGCCGGCGCTCGCAGCACCTGAGTCTTTCTAGGGCGGAGCAAGAACCAAAGCCCGAAGGATCGCAAGCGGGGTACGATCCGATGGATGTGGATCTTGAGCCGATCCCGCAGGAAGAACCGTAAGAGGAGGAACCCGAGACGGAACCTGAGGAGGAGCCTCGCTCCGAGCCAGAAGAAGAACCGGTGTACATTCCACCGTATGAACAGTGGATTGACCCCGATTTTGTGCCAAAGTACGGGTCTGATGAGGAGTTCGACTCAAAGGAGCAGATAGAAGTCCCAGCGGAGTCGAGTGGCATCAATAACCCGATTGAGATAGGAGCCGAACCGGAGTCCTCGTAGGAGCAGACAGTCCAAGGGGATTCGGACTCAGAGGGTGAAGAATCAGATTCATAGTGGACGCCTAGTAGAGGGCGTAGGGGTTTGGTTTAAGGGTTGATAAGAGATAGTTTTGAGGAGTTCCATTTTTGGTGATAGAATGTCCAGGCTATCGATCCTTTTGATGTCGGTGGTTTATAGTACAGCGTGCATATGTATATGGTGGCTTGTAAATGGTGAATATTATATAAGTTTGAATGAAGAACGAGTATGTTTATTCTCCCTGTTTACCCCAGTTTTATTATTGTCTGGATAATTGAGGTTTCCGCCGATCGTTTTAAATCTCTGAAAAGATAATAATTGGGTCGGCGATACCCTGGGACATCGCATCAATCGACCAGAGTGGTGTTACGCGTGCTCGACAGGGTTCGGGGCGTGACATCCGAGTTGAATTGGTATCAGAGCGAGGTTAGCTCGATCTAAACTGGTCGGAGTTTGGAGTGATAAGGAGCAGAGACCCTGGGGTAGTGATTTGGGGAGACCTTAGCAAGTCATAGGGCGAAATAAGCTACACGTGCCTCCAGATTGTTTGTTGTGATTGGTTGAGTGAATTGATTGTTGTGATGACTGAAATGCAGGTGCGTCTGGACCTGAGGTAAGTGTTCAGACTTTATTGATTGTGGCCTCGTGACTGTAATGATTGATTACCTGCTGAGTGAATTCTTGCGTTAATTCACTGCCTAGGACTAGACTGATCTAGTTCGCCTAGGTTACTGATTCCTGAGTGGAACTATAGCAGGTAGGAGAGTGGTAGGAAGCTGAAATAATGAGCAGCGAAGGAAGAAGTGTAGGAAGAGTCCCAAGAAGGGGCGCAGGAAGAGGAACAAGAGGTGGAGGTCGTGCTCGAGCTAGAGCTGTAGAGGACCTCGGAATGGGTGCTAGAGCGGTAGAAAACCCTGGAGTTGATGCTGGAGCTGCAGTGGACCCCAGAGTTGATGTTAGACATGCAAAGGATCCTAGAATGGAAGCGGTCATGAGGACCCTAGAGCAGATTGGTAATTTAATAGGACAGCAGACTCAGGAACGAGCTGCTACGAATGCCCAAGCTGCCGAGGCCACTGCTGCTAATAATAATAATGGGAATCAAGGGCAGGGGCAAGTGAATGTGAATAGACAAATGCACCAATTGGTCGAGCAGTTTATGAAGCTAAAATCACCTAAGTTTTACTGGAAAAGGTAACCCCGAGGCTGCACCACGATGGGTAGAGGAACTCGAGAAAGCCTTTGAGGTATTAGGGTGCACCGATAATGAGAAAGTAACCCTGGCAGTATATCAATTACACGACAATGCGAATGACTGGTGGAAGGCCACCTGGGCTAGAGTGTTTCCTGAAGGTACCGCCCAGACTTGGGTTGCGTTCACCGAAAGTTTTTATGGAAAGTATTTCTCGGAGAGCGCTAGGGAAAGAAAGCTAGCAGAGTTTATGAGACTCCGCCAAAGTCAGATGACGGTGGATCAGTATGAGGCGGAATTTGCTAGATTATCTAAATTTGCGTCGAGAATGGTAGAGCATCCCGAGCATAAGGCGCGAAGGTTTCAGGATGGATTGAAAGCTGACATTCGCAGCCAGTTGATACTGGTGAATCTGAGGACTTATGAGGACATATATGATAGGGCTCAGGCTCTTGAGAGGGACCAGGTAGACAGGGCAGCAGTATCTGGGTCGAGGTTTGTCCAGGATAGGGACAATCGTAATCTCGGGAAGAGGCCGATGTCGGGTAATAGACGTTTTGTCCCTCCTATTAGAAGAAACATAGGGAAGCCGGCCCGAAATCAGAATGGTCCATGTCGGTTATATGGGGAAAGGCATGGAAATGGACCTTGTCCAACTCGGGGCAGAGCATGTTTTGGGTGTGGTGGATTTGGTCATCACGTAAGGTATTGCCCCAATCTCAGGCAAAATAGATCACCTGCGTTGCCGCCACCCAGGAACGGGAATCAGACTGGAGCGGCCTAGACAGCTAATCAGAATAGGCCACAGGCGCAAGGACGAGTGTACGCCATGGCCAGGAGAGAAATTGAGAACGCGCCAGGGGTTGTCACAGGTACGGTTTCTCTATGCAACCATGCTGCGTATGCTTTATTTGACCCTGGGGCGTCACATTCTTTCATATCTGAGCAATTTGTTGAGTTGATTGGTTTAGAACCGCAGTCGCTTGTTGTTGTGTTATGTGTGACAACTCCCTTGAATGACAAGATTCTAGTTTTACTGGGGTGTCCAAATTGTAAGATTGTGATTGGGGATAGGGAGGAAATGATTGATTTAGCGGTTATAGCCATATATGATTTCAATATGATAGTGGGTTTGGACTGGCTATCTAAGCAGAGGGCCGTAATGGATTGCAATAGCATGGTGATCCAATTTAATCCGGTTGGACATCCGGAATTTAAATTTGTGGGAAGTCGAGGAGGACCCTCGATTCCATGGGTTTCGTCGCTAGAAATGACGAAGTTGTTGAGTGAAGTGGTGTCAAGGATTTCTAGCGGCCAAGAGCCGAGGCTAGATGATATAGCTGTGGTGTGCGAATATCCCGATGTGTTTCCTCAGAATTGCCGGGATTGCCACCAGAAAGAGAAGTAGAATTTGTAATCGAGTTGGCACCTGGAACTGAGCTAATCTCGAAGGCGCCTTATAGAATGTCGCTGTCTGAGTTAAATGAATTAAAGGTACAAATGCAAGAATTGTTAGACAAGGGATTTATTCGTCCGAGTGCGTCCCCGTGGGGAGCGCCGGTTTTATTTGTGAGAATGAAAGATGGATCGTTGAGGTTATGTATAGATTATAGGCAGCTAAATCAGGTGACGATCAAAAATAAATATCCTTTGCCGAGGATTGATGATTTGTTTGATCAATTACAAGGGGCTTCGGTGTTTTCTAAAATTGATTTGAGAACAGGATATCATCAGTTGATGATTAAGAAGGAGGATATACCAAAGACGGCATTTAGGACGAGATACGGACATTATGAATTTACGGTAATGCCGTTCGGATTGACGAACGCCCCTGCTACCTTTAGGGATCTAATGAATCGGGTATTTAAGGAGTTCTTAGATCAATTCGTGATCGTTTTTATAGACGACATATTGGTGTACTCGAAGAGCCTAGAGGAGCATGAATTTCACTTGAGTAAGGTGTTGCAAACCTTAAGAGAGAACGCACTGTATGCTAACTTTAGCAAGTGCGAATTCTGGCTCAATCGAGTAGCATTTCTCGATCATGTGATCTCTTGGGAAGGAATCTCGGTAGATCCAGCGAAGATTGAGGTTGTGATGAAGTGGCCGAGACCGACGACGGTAACAGAGGTTCAAGTTTTCCGGGGTTTGGTTGGATATTATCGTCAGCTTGTGGAAGGGTTTTCAAAGAATAGCAACGCCGTTGACACATTTATTGAAAAAGGAAACGAGATTTGAATGGACCGACAAATGTGAGAGGAGTTTTCAGGAATTGAAACATAGATTAACAACGGCACCGGTATTGACTATTCCATCAGGACCCGGAAGATATGAAATTTATAGCGATGCGTCGTTGAAAGGATTGGGGTGTGTACTCATGCAAAATGGACAAGTAGTGGCCTACGCGTCTAAACAGTTAAGATCGCATGAGTTGAATTATACAACGCATAACTTGGAATTAGCCGCAATAGTATTCACCCTGAAGATTTGGCAACACTATTTATGCGGAGAGAAATTTCAGATCTATACCGACCATCAGAGCCTCAAATATTTGTTTTCTCAAAAGAAGTTAAACATGAGGCAGCGTCGGTGGATGGAGTTGTTAAAGGATTATGATTGTGATATTCTATATCATCCCGGGAAGGCTAACCGGGTAGCCGATGCATTGAGTTGGAAGTCGAGCATCGCGCATTTAATAGTCAAGGAATGGACATTGCTAGAAAAAGTGCGAGACTCGGAGTTTAGATTCAAGTAAGTCAAGTCTCGAGCTTGCAGCTACGCTTAGGATTGAATCGGAGATCCAGGCTAAGATTAAGATGTTACGGTTTACGGATCAAGAAATCCAAAGGATTTCGTAGATGGAGGCGGCCAAGAGAAAGCCGGACTTCCAGATATCCGAAGACGGGATACTGAAGTTCCGTGGATGATTATGTCTGCCCGATGATGCGGAGCTTAAGGAAGAGATTTTGTCGAAGCGCATCGTAGCAGCTTATAGTATCCACCTAGGTAGTACCAAAATGTATCGAATTTGAGGCAAGATTTATTGGTGGAACGGTATGAAAGTGGATATAGCCAGACATGTAGCCAAATGTCTGACGTGCCAGCAAGTGAAGGCACAACATTGCAAGCCTGGAGGATTGTTGCGACCGTTGGAAATCCCAGAATGTAAATGGGAGCATGTAACTATGGATTTTGTGTCGGGATTACCAAGGAGCCAAAGAGGTCATGATATTATTTGGGTGATTGTCGACAGATTGACCAAGTCGGCATACTTTTTGGCGGTGCGAAAGGATTTCGCATTAGATCGGTATGCTGAGTTATATGTGCAGCAGATAGTTCGATTGCATGGGGTACCAGTGACTATTACCTCATATCGTGATCCTAGGTTTACCGCAGTTTTTGGAAAAGTCTGCAGACGGCATTAGGATCCAAGCTGCAGTTCAGTACAGCCTACCACCCTCAGACAGATGGCCAGTCTGAGAGGACGATTCAGACTTTAGAGGATATGCTTAGGGCATGTGTGTTAGATTTTCAGGGTAAGTGGGAAGAACAATTGCCCTTGAGCAGAATTTGCATATAATAATAGTTTTCAGCAGAACATCGGAATGGCGCCCTTTGAAGCGCTATATGGCAGGGCTTGTAGGACGCCCGTGTGCTGGGACGAAGTAGGAGAAAGGAGTATAACCGGGCCAGAGTTAGTTCAACAGTCAATTGAGGCTGTTAAGGTGATTCGTGAAAGGCTGAAAACAGCTCAAAGCCGTCAAAAGAGTTATGCAGACAGAAGGCGAAGACCTTTGGAGTTTCAAGTAGGGGATCACGTATTTCTTAAGGTATCGCCCATGAGAGGACTATCCAGATTTGGTAAGAAAGGCAAGTTAAATCCGAGGTACGTGGGATCTTTTGAGATTTTAGAAAGAATTGGGGATTTAGCGTATCGCCTTGCACTTCCACCGAATTTGTCGCAAGTGCATAATGTGTTCCACGTATCGATGTTGAAGAAATATAAACCGGACCCAACTCATGTGTTAAATTATGAGGAGATAGAAGTTGACGACAAGGTGTCGTATGCCGAAAGACCAATAAGGATTGAGGATCGAAAAGAGCGAGTTTTGAGGAACAAGACGATCCTGATGGTCAAGGTTGTATGGGAGCATCATGGGACTGAAGGCGCGACTTGGGAAAGTGAAGAGATAATGCAACGTCAATACCCCCAATTGTTTGAATAGTAGTGGGATTTGTAAATTTCGAGGACGAAATTTTTGTAAGGGGGGAAAGTTGTGACAGCCTAAAATTTGCCTATTTGGGATTTATGAAATGCTTGGTTTTATGAATGTACTCGTAGTCAGTTCTCGCCCGGAACTGATCATTCCTGGGATACTAACCAATAGGGAAAGGCTAATTAGGGATTTAAATTCGTGCGACTAAAGAAAATTCGATCGTGAATTGATTTTCAACCATAAAATCGTCGAGGTGACATTTTGAGCCACTGTAGGCCGATCCAAGGATAGCCAGGGGTTAGTCCGCCATTGTCATAGTAGTGGATCGCGGGTGATTCCGCTGGACCACGAAATGAATTGACGAATGATCCTGAACCTATACCAAACGATCGTGCCCCTCGGATCTAGCAATCGATCCTCGCGATTAAGTGACAACCGAAGTCGTCACGAACCGAATGAACTTGCACGTGACTCGATTTATTATCAGTCACGGGTCGAATATGCGAATTTCCCTAAAAGCCGCCCGTTAGTTTGAGAAACGCTTGAGTTACGTTAAATAAAATTTGATTATTAATTAGAGCCCAAATTGGACATCGGAAAATTGGGAATTCACAACGGGACGTTAGGACGACGTTGTGGTTGGAACGTACAGCTTTGGATTTTCTCGGATCCTTCCGAAAAATTCAATTTTTGCAAGAAAATGGAAAAGTGACCGTTTTACCCCTAGGAATTTGTTAAGGGCAAGCTTTAAGAGGGAAAGGCATTTTGGTCATTTTGCCCTAATTTTTGAGTTGGACAATTTTGCCCTTGAACTTTTTGAGAAATTCCCAAATTGCCCTTGGATATTTTGGAAAAGATTCGATCTCGGCCGTCGATTCCAAGATAAGATCGAATCTCGGCCGTTGATTAAAAAGATTAGAGAGGGGCAAGATGGTAATTTGCCAAAATTGATCAAAATTGGACTATTTAGACCAAGACCCATTCTCTCTCTCCTCATGCTCTCTCTCTCAAACTCTCGGCTCTCTCTCTCTCTCTCCCCCTCCCTCACCGTGAGCTCTCCCTCTCCCCCTTGGCCACTCATCGCGCCGCCGGCCACCGCCTGCCGCCGCCGCCGCCGCACCGCCACGCCCCTCACGCCACCGCCACCACCGTCCTCTCTCTCTATCTCTCTCTCGGCTCACCCTTTCTCTCCCTTGGCCGTGGACAGCCGGTCCAAGCCGAGCAAGCTGCCACTGTCGCCGTGCGCCGATCGCCACCGCCGAGCCGCGCCGCCGCTCACCGCCGTTCACCGTTAACCGCCACCCATTTTCCGCTCGAGTCGAGTCAGTCTAGAGTCTCGGTAAGTCGCGCTCTAAACTTTATTTAGGACTTCGGGTATCGACGGACAAAATTGAGGTGGAATCGGGTTAAATTAGACAAGGATTAGTATGGTTTTAGGGGCGGATTTGATTAGCGGGCCTAAGGAATGAATATGGGGAAATTTTGGTGGAAATTTAGAGGCTGATTATATGCTGAATTTGTTGGTTTGAATGCTGGAAAATGCGGTTCGGTATGTAAATTAAGTATTTAGATCCGGCGACTAATTGTGGGAAAATGTCGTGAAGAGACGGAATTGATTTGCCATGGTTTTGATATGAAAAAAATGCCAATTTGTATGTTGGTTGTGCGTTTGAACTGTGGTGATGAAATTGGGTGCATTGGTGTGCAATTGATTGATTGAAATATGCTTGATTATGTGCACGCCCGGGCTGAATTGAATTAATTGTCAATCGGCCATGTTGAATGCTTAATGAGCATGAGAATGTGTGTGAATTGGTGCATGCACGGGCTACGCGTGATTGGCCAATTTATTGGCAAGTGAGTGTGGAGCATGTGTATGAGCGAGAAATTGTGTGGTATGGTATGTGTGATTGTGGAAATCCCCGAGGCGGTACCATTACGCTGGGGAATTGATCCGTCCCGAGGCGGTACGAATACGCTGGGACGATACCCTAGATACCGGAGGACGGCCAACCCGAGGCGATACCATTACGCGGGTTGTGTCGTAGGTGGTGGGGCGTTGAGCCCGAAAGGGTACTACTACGCGGGCAAGATACACAGCCTGAGGCGGTACCATTACGCGGACCCTGGAGTATTGTGATGAGTTGGTTGCAGTGAACCTGAGGCGGTACCATTATGCGGGTCACTGGTGAGTGATGTGAAAAAGATGTGATGAGATCGGAATGAATGCATGAAACGTAATTAGAACATGCATGTAAGTGGAATGATGTTATTATGGTTAACGTGCAGGTTGCACGATGGAAAGGCCCAGGTAAGTATTGATTGTGTGCCTGCGATGTAATAGCTGAATGTGGTTGTTTGTCTTGATTGTCTAGAGGTACGTAATAGCTTAGGTGGGGTTTAGGGTGTGTGCTTACTGAGATGTATTCTTATGGTTGTTTCAACCAAACAATTTCAGAACCCCGGCCTAAACAATGAATCCGCCGCCGCCTTGCCACCGTAGCGTTTTGGGTTACCAAAGGCACATCGACCACAATGTAGTAGAGTTTCCGATCGATGAAAATATGACCTTGATAAAGCATACCTCAGTAGTTTGGGTAGATATAGGGTTACTCCTTTTGCAGGCCCACACATACACCGCCTGGTTCTTCAGGGACGGGATATACGAGTTTGGACCCGTCCGCGGATTTGACATCCCCTTTGATGGAGTTGGGGACTAGGACCCGTCTGCTATACCTCCTCCGGATGGCGAGTTGACTAGTGTGGAGACTAAACTAGCGCAGTCAGGACTACAGCCGGCGCCCGCAGCACCTGAGTCTTTCTGGGGTAGAGCAAGAACCAGAGCCCGAAGGATCGCAAGCGGGGTACGATCCGATGGATGTGGATCTTGAGCCGATCCCAGAGGAAGAACCAGAAGAAGAGGAACCCGAGGCGGAACCTGAGGAGGAGCCCGCTGAGCCAGAAGAAGAACCGGTGTACATTCCCCTGTATGAACAGTGGATTGACCCCGATTTTGTGCCAGAGTACGGGTCTGATGAGGAGTCCGACTCAGAGGAGCAGATAGAAGTCCCAGCGGAGTCGGGTGGCATCAATAACCCGATTGAGATAGGAGCCGAACCGGAGTCCTCGGAGAAGCAGACAGTCCAGGGGGATTCGGACTCAGAGGGCGAATAATCAGACTCAGAGTGGACGCCTAGTAGAGGGCGTAGGGGGTAGGTTTAGGGGTTGATAAGAGACAGTTTTGAGGAGTTCCATTTTTGGTGATAGAATGTCCAGGCTATCAATCCTTTTGATGTCGGTGGTTTATAGTACATCGTGCATATGTATATGGTGGCTTGTAAATGGCGAATATTATATAAGTTTGAATGAAGAACGAGTATGTTTATTCTCCCTGTTTATCCCAGTTTTATTATTGTCCGGGTAATTGAGGTTTCCGCTGATCGTTTTAAATCTCTGAAAAGATAATAATTGGGTAGGCGATACCCTGGGACATCGCATCAATCGACCAGAGTGGTGTTACGCGTGCTCGATGGGGTTCGGGGCGTGATAGAGAGGAAGCTGAGAATAGTTTTGCTATTTTGAAGGAGAAGTCATGTACTGTACCTGTTCTTGCTTTACCTGATTTTGATAAACTGTTTGAAGTGGACTGTGATGCTAGTGGAGTGGGTATAGGAGCTGTTTTATCTCAAGAGCGTAGACTAGTTTGCTATTTTAGTGAGAAGCTCAGTGACGCAAGACAGAAGTGGAGCACTTATGATAAAAAATTCTATTCTGTCGTAAGGGCTTTGAAGACCTGGGAGCATTATCTGATTGGGAAAGAATTCGTCATTTATTCTATTCTGTCGTAAGGGCTTTGAAGACCTGGGAGCATTATCTGATTGGGAAAGAATTCGTCATTTATTCTGATCATGAAGCTTTGAAGTATCTGGATAGTCAGAAGAGGATTAGCAAAGATATGCATGTGCGATGGTGTCAATTTTTGCAAAAATTTCCTTTCAGATTATAGTATAAGTCAGGTGTGCATAATGTTGTAGCAGATGCATTGAGTAGGAGAGCTGGCTTGTTGATTACGTTGAGCCAAGAAATTCTAGGGTTCAAGTAGCTGAAAAACTGTTATGTAGATGATGATAACTTTGGAAAAGTTTGGGAGTCATGTGCTGCTGGTCAACCTGTGCAAGACTTTTATATGCAGGATGGTTATCTGATGCGTGGCAATCAGCTTTGCCTTCCTCGGACATCATTACGAGAGAAGGTAATTCGCGATTTACATGATGGTGGATTAGCTGCACATCTACGTCGTGATAAAACTATTGCTGCAGTCTGGGAGCGATTTTACTGGCCCCAGTTGCGTAGAAATGTCAGCAGGTCGCCTTTTTCTGTTGTTTATACAAATGCGCTTCAACATACTCTGGATTTGGTACAGTTGCCTAAGCAAGCGGATAAAAGTGTAGCAGCGGATCATATGGCTAAACAGATTATGGAAGTGCATCATGAAGTCAAACAGAAACTGGAGGAAGCTAATCAAGTATAAAGTCAGTAGCGTATAAACACAAAGCGGAAGGAGATGTTTGTGAGCCGTTATCTCCAGATTCTGATTTTAACTCGAGGATGAGTTCTTTTCAAGTGGAGGAGAATGATGCGGAATCTATTAGTGGTGCATTTCTCGACCGATTGGACAGTGCGTAAGTCTAAACGGAAGGCGAAACGGTGATGCGACTAGAATCGGCGTGACTTGGCCGACGACATCGGATATTTTTTATGAGTTAATTTAAAAAAGGCAGTTTCCTAATTTTGATGTTTTACGCTTTCCAATTTTAGTAGGGTTATAATTTAAGTTGAGGACTGAATTAGCATCCATACAATAGGTTTAGGATTGATTGGATACGTCTCTCGAATTGTAGTGCTCAACCGGTAAGATGATCCGGTTTTGCGAGTATACTCTCCACTTGCCATTCTATATAGATAATGTGGATCCGAAAGATTATGAGGCCAGAGAACTTTAAAATGGGAATTAATGGTGTCTAAAGACTAACAAGAGGTCCTTTTTGGATGGTCGAGAGAAGGGCCTTATGAAATAGCATACTTGTCTCACATCTCCATTGTTTCCCATCTTAGACTCCTCATTGCAAAATATAGGAATGTAAAAGCAAATTTTGGTATGGTTTACGTTGTTTTTTTCCAATTTGAAGCAGTGGCTTACAGTCATGGCTACTCTACCAATTCTCCGTGAGGTGTGTGTATATATATATTGTAGGGTATTACCTAGATCAAGCTGTCTCAATTCCTCCGCCAAACGTAAGCGTGCACGAAACATCTTTGTCTGATCTTACTCGTGACACATAAACAAACAAAATCCAGATCAGAGAATATATAAAACATGTTCGAGTAGCTAATTACAGGATTTGGTTAATAAGCACACGGTCTGAGTCATTATTTGACTAGCGAATAGGGATTAGTGGGCGTTTTTTTAGGATTTGTTTGGCATGTTGCACAAGCCCTACAACTTTGTAATTTGCTTCTGCAATAGCCAGGATCTACGTAATTGGGGGACACCCATGTGGTCACCCCACCGGACAGGCCGTGGACGTTCTGAAGCAAGGGATGCTTCACCAGAACATGTCTGAAAAATTGAGCCTATTGTTGTTTAACATTGCTTAATGTACGTTAAAGATGTTCTCTCAAGAGTCCTGAAGAAAGTAACCCGAGAAACTGAAGCCATGAAGGGACAGATTCCGACAGATTCTGAAAGTTGCTCATCCTTGCATGACTTGCTTCGGGCGGCCGATTGACCAATAAAAAAGAAATTAAACGAAACTTGTGTGATTCGCATGATTAACGCTTCAACAATGAGCCTCGAGATGCCAACCTATAAATGGCCTATCTGAATAGATTTTTTACTTTATTTTATAATCTAGGGACACAGTTGTGGAAATCTAGTTACCTAGAGTTTCATGGAATATCCTGCAAGCCCCAATTAGATTCAGACTTATGACTTGTATAGAAGGATTGTGGCCTAGAGCAGTTTTGCACGCAATTTGTGGGATTCGAACAAGCGACCTTCTAGTCCCTAACTGAAAATCTTCCAACGCCCCAATCAACTAAAAATCGTCTAGTTTTTACTTTTGGCTTTTTGCTTGATCTTTGCACAACATCAACATGATGTAGCTAGCAGGTATCACCTAGAGGAGAGTGAATAGGTGATTCAAGTGAATTTGTAGAATTTAAAGCGGAAATGACTTTATAATCGGAAAGTCTGAACAATAATCAGATTTTGAATGTTCTAGTGCGCAAAGGTAAATAATATAATGGAAGATTAGAGATGAAGAGAACTGCACACAAGAAATTATAGTAGTTCGGCTTAGATTAAGTTTACGTCCACTCTCCCACGCTGACAGCCTACTGGCTGGATTCCACTATATGATCAAAGGGATTACAAGATTTGACTGATATCACTCGGTGAATGATAGAATTCTCTATCTCACACAATCACTTTTACAGAAAATCCCTCAAAATCTCAGTATTTAGCTCAAGAAATACAAGTAATAGAATCAGAATGTACTCAAACTTTAGACTTGTTGATTCTCGATTTCGTTCTATTCGTTCTGCTCCTCATTGATCTCCTTTTATACTCCTCCACTTCCAAACTAGCCATTGGACAGTCTTCAGAGGATCATCTTCCAATCTTCACCTTGGACAGATTTGTATAAAATGGATTGAGTAGCCGTTGGTTGACAAAATCCGAATCCCATTGAATCTGGTCGCCCATACAATCAGAATCCCGGTTTCCATAAGTAGAGTTTTATCCATTGTGATATATACTTGTCATAATGTTTGATTGTCAATCAATTAGGCTTAGATTGAGTCAATCAAAACTTTCCTTTGTGAAATCCACGCCGCATCACTAGCCGTTATGTTTCGTTCTAAATAAATTCCGAGTCCGAAGAATTTCTAGTTCTTACTTTACATTCGAAACTAAGTCGCCGTAGGTCTTCGCAAAAGTCCGAGTCCTTCAAAATTAGAGTCCGAAGATCTCCGACATCTTAATATGAAGTCCGAGTTTCTATCTTAGTAGGGTCTGAACTTCTCGTTCTGAAACTCGTTAAGTCTGAAGTTTTCGTTTTGAAACTTGTAGAGTCTGAACTTTTCCTTCTGTACCTCGTAAAATCTAAGCGTCCAGAAAGTTAATTTCTCTTGCAGTATTAAAGTTGCAACTTTCAGAATATATTTACCTAGATCAAAATACTTCAGAGTGCATATCAGATTTACAAGATTAACATGGATAGTTTTGTCAACTATAAAATTAGGAAGTTTCCTCAACAATGTCCCCCTTTTTATGGTGACAAAACTTCCATGCAGTATTAAAAGATTTGATAATAGTTGAGAATAAAATGAACATTAAATAACTATTGAGCGCATAAGGCACGTATAAATGTAAGTGCAAATTGTAAAATCGTGTCCTTTTCTTTTCTTCAAGTCCGTCCAATAACTCCGCATTATGTCTCGCATACCGATAATAATGATAATATGCATCCCGTAATATATGTTCTCGTAATATATGCAATATATTATCCCCTTTTTGTCGCTGAAGAAAAATAGATAATGGAAGATTAATACTTGAATAACCAAGTCGGCTTACATAAATCAAGCCTAAGAGAAAGTAATAGTTCAAAATAAACATCGAAAAGCAAAGTTTTAATCGAAGGGAGATGAAGCAGGCTATTTTTTGGAAGGTGTGCGAACGAGTTGAAAATTTTTAAGGATTTGAACAGCTTTCCTCGATTCTCGAGAGAACATTGACCAACAAACTTGCTCCGTGATTAGTTGAACATTGAGCAATGGCCTTTTCAAGATCTACTTTGTCTTGTTCTCGCTTGAAGACAAAGATTTTTACTATGTTCTTCAATAATGGTCTTAAGATTCTTCATATCTTCTTCGAGAACTGACTGTTTGTCTTTAATTTCTAGCAGAAGTTGAAGTATGGTCCTGTCCTCTGAGGGTTGTCCCTGGACATGTTCAGATGCAAAGTGTTCAAACTCACCTTCTCTTGCAATCGAAATCTCCCCTTGAGTATCTCAGATATTCTCGCAGCAACATTCTCCGATATTACTTATTCGGGGTGTTGTTGTGGAGATGGACCTTCTTCTGTCACCATAGGAATTGTGTTGTGTTCCTGT